AGGGGCGAGGTTGTGGTTAGAACGCTTGGTTGAGTGCATCAGACGAGACGATGAAGAAGTTCATCAAAGCCGGAACTAATCGAGCCGTTTGTGCCAGCCTGGGGAGAAAGGTATTTTAATAATGTAAATTATGTGAAAAATAATGTGTTTTTCGAACCACCAAGCATGAGAGCATGTTCTAGTACACCCCCAAAACAAAATCAAGACTTTGTAAAAGAGCATAATAGGACCCCTTTAACTCAACTCAACTGGCCTATGCGGTTGTTCATACGTTTCCTAACCGTGTGGAGTGGATCTGTAAATCTGTGGTACAGGTACGAGCGTGTCTGTTTGCCAGAGGCTCGCACGCTCAGCACTGAGACTGAAACACATAGTTCAGGTTACACACTGAGTCTCAACAACAGCCAGCAGCCTCTATTCTCAAAACAAACTGCACGCAACAAGCCATTCGCTTCAGTTTTCCTCCTTTAGATCTTAACTGGCGGGTCACGACCCAAAAACTGGTCACAGGTCTGTTCTGGAGGCAAAAAAATAATATTGTCCTATCCTAACAAACCATACATTAATGAAAAGCTTATTTATGCATTTATGACTGGTTTTGTGCTCCAGGGTCACATATCTCATCAGATGATCTGAGCTGTCCGTTTTACAGCTCTGTTCTCTTACTGTATTTGTGTGTTTTCATTTCTTCTTAGAAGAAACATCCGATACACTGTTCTTATTTGAATGAAACATAACTGAGACCTCCATTAAGTCTCTCATCATCTTCTCATTAGAGCTACAGCAGGAATATCTAACTGTAAAGCTCCCATCTCAACACTACAGTAATAATGGACGTCAACAGACAGAAGGGATGATCATGTGACGGTGGCACACGGTCTGAATCCGTGATGAACAGGAATGCTGAGTGCGGAAAACTGCGGCTAAAAAACAGGATTAGCAGCCGAGCACTGATCGAGCAGCACAGCAGAGCCCTAAAATCAAGCCCAAGGGACCTGAAAGAGACCCCCTGTCTGTGTGTTCTCAACAGGATATTCTACAGGAACAGCTGGCAACACGAGGAAACACTCTCCAGCTCACCGAGACACTTCAGAGCATTATTACTCAGACTGACTTTGAGTTCGCATTTGAAGGACACACTCGTACTGACATTCAATATTAACACTCATAATGAACAAATAAATACATACTCGGAGTCCAACTGCACGAATACAAACCACAGTACGATCTGTGCAAATAAACATCTCATATTCTATAAAATAATATTTAATATTAATGAATAGGAACAAATCAGTCTTTATCCATCTACACTAAAATGAACAGAAGATTAATAAACTGACCCTTATTATACTGTGGCATAACACGGAAATTCATAACTCATGGTATTTAATTAATTGGTTCTTCTAAGAGTATCATGGCACTACTATGGTGCGCATCAAAACAAAACATGGTAAAAGGTGATATCGTATCTGTATATAGATTATTTTGTATATAAATGTTTAAATATTTTGACTCTCTTGACTATTATGTACATATGTTACATATGCAATCTAATTTATATATATATATATATATATATATATATTGTAGCAGTACCATGATTCAGTGATCGGATGGTAAAACCATGGTATTTTAATATACTATCATCACTAATTGTGACTTTCCATGGTATGTTCTTATATGCAATCTAATTTATATATATATATATATATATATATATTGTAGCAGTACCATGATTCAGTGATCAGATGGTAAAACCATGGTATTTTAATATACTATCATCACTAATTGTGACTTTCCATGGTATGTTCTTACAGCATATGGAAATAATCTGAAAATAAATAATCGAAACATTATGGCACTTAGAACAGAAGTGCTATGGCAGTCAAATAATCAGTGATTGTATGAAATGGGAATACCATAGTACTGTTTGATTAGCTTATTAATAAACCTGGTACTCTCAGGCACTTCCAACATGACTGCATTATAAAATAATATTTTTAAAATGTATTTTTTTTTTTTATGGAAACGCAATTTATATGCATTAAATCGATCCGTATGTGAAACACAAGCATGAATGTAAAAGATCCTCCGCGTACCGAGCTCTGCAGCATCCATCCCGCATCCCTCGCCGAGCACCGCGTCCGCGTCCTCCGGCAGCGCGGAACATCCTCCGGCCGCGGCTCCCTCCATCGGATCCGGATCAAACGGGCCGTCGAGCGTTCAAACGAATCGAATGAAGGGGAAACCGAGCGAGCGTCATGATCTGCTGGGTCCGCGGCGCCCAACTGCAAACACACACACACACACACACACACACACACACACACGATCCGCTACGCCAGCAGTGACGTCACCGGGCCCGGAGAGCTGCGACGTCATCAGAGTATCGCCTTCCAAAGCGACGTCAGCCAGAGAGGAATTTACATACACTGCGCATGAAGCCACTTCATTTAAATATAATTCTAATAATTTTAGGTTTAAGGCATTTCAAAGCACATAAGTCCAATAGATTAAATATTTAGAGGAAAATGACATTAAAAAAGAAAAGAAAACTTCATTTTTAAAGAGAAAATAGGGAAAATCCGCCCTCTATCGGATAACTCTCAAACTACAACACACCTGAAAAACCACACACACACACACACACACACACACACACACACACACGTACACCACCTTTTACAGCAAAATTCAGAAAAACCACACACACACACACACACACACACACACACACACACACACGTTCAGGACCCGTATCAACTAGTTAAGTTATTTATTATTAGTGACTATCAAGACACTTCTTACATGGAGGGTCAGAAAGCAACCAGAGCTCAAGCAGGTTTATTACTGTTAACTAAAACTAAACCAATTAAATAATAATAAAAAAAATAAAAAATAAAAATAAGAATATATATATATATATATATATATATATATATATATATATATATATATATATATATATATATATATATATATATATATATATATATATATATATATATATATATATATATATATATATATATATATATATATATATATATATATATATATATATATATATATATATATATATATATATATATATATATATATATATATATATATATATATATATATATATATATAGTAGTCAATATTTGAAGTGGATCAAAACAGTTAATCAAAGTTGTCCTAAGACAAGAACGGTATTGTTTTGGTTTTAGAACAACTTTGATGAAAGGTTTGGATCCACTTGATCCAAATGTTGACTACTGTATATATATATTGTATATATTGTATACTACTGTATAACTTTTGCATTTAATCCAAAATGCCGCTGCAAGATTAATCTTTAATGAGCCGAAAAGAACACATGTCACACCTCTGTTCATCAATTTGCACTGGCTACCAGTAGCTGCTCGCATAAAATTCAAGGCAAAATTATTAGAACACTTGGCATATTTAAGAGGTTTCAGGTTTTTTTAATCGTCCATTATAATACCCATAAAACGAATGAAATATCTACAAAGTCATCATTATGCTTTATAAACCATAGAATAGAGCCATCATAAGGAGAGTTAGGTCATTTTCCTTACAAAAAAACAAGCTAGGCCTATTCCACTGTCAGTGTCACACAATCATGTTCCTTCACAGAAGAAGCCAAATTACTTGTGTAATCTTTGTCAGGTGTGATCGTGGTTAAATTGATGGTGACGCAAGAGTCTTAGGACACAGCTGTGTGATTCTTTTACATGTACAAGACCTATCCTGCACATTAAGTGACTGGTAACATCAGGGTTTTGTCACGGAGGCCACACCACCAATTGGTATAAATTCAAAGTCTCTAGAAGTAGTATTGAAGCACATGTTGCTCTTTGAACATGGCTAAGGTGAAGGAGGAGCTAATGAGTGAGCAACGGGTTCGAATAAAGGCTGGCTGGAGTTACCACCGCATAGCCAAGAACGTGAGATGCAGTCAAAGCACTGTAAAGTACACTTTAGACCACCATGATGCCACCAATTCACACCAGAACCGAAAGGGGAGAGGTAGAAAAAAAAAGAGAAACTTTCAGACAGACAAGTGAAGCATCTTAAAATTCTCAGTCTTAAGGACCGAAGAAAGACCTCACGAGAACTGCGTGACGAGATCAACACCACAATGACTAATGGTGCAACAGTGTCTTCAGGAACTGTGCGTCGGAAACTGGGAGAACAAGGACTTGTTGGCAGAATAGCAGCAAAGAAACCATTACTGAAAGAGAAAAAGAGAGTGAAACGCCTGAAATTTGCACAAGAACACAAGAACTGGACAAAGGAAGATTGGTCTAAAGACTGATGAGTCCAAGTTTGAACAGTTTGGCAACAACGAAGAGTGTATGTTCGACGGAGAGAGAGGGAGATATATAAAAATGAGTGTCTGTTGCCAACAGTTAAACACGGAGGGGGTAGTATTATGGTGTTGGGTGCTATTTCAGCCTCAGGAACAGGTGACTTAGTGAAAACTGATGATAAATACCACAACATTCGGGTGAGGCACGGAGTACCATCTGGGAGTCGTCTTATTGGGCCTGGATTTATTTTCCAAGAGGACAATGACCCTAAACATTCTTCTAACTATTGCCGGAACCATCTGTGATGGGAGGAATCTGCTGGAACATTGAAAATGATGGACTGGCCCCCTCAAAGTCCGGACCTCAACCCCATCGAGCAAATTTGGGGCGAGTTGGGAAATAAACTGGACAGATGTATTGTACATTGAAAGGAAAGCCTTTGGCTTGATGGGATAACATTAGTGTTGAACACTATGCCAGAGAGATGTGCTGCTGGAATTGCTGCAAAAGGTGGACATACCAAATATGTGACCCTGCAGCACAAAAGCAGTCTTAAGTTGCTGGTTTTCTCAATATTTAGATTTTTTTGCACCCTCAGCTTCCAGATTTTCAAATAGTTGTATCTCGGCCAAATATTGTCCTATCATAACAAATTTTTTCTTTATTCAGCTTTCAGATGATGTATAAATCTCAATTTCAAAAAATTGACCCTTATGACTGGTTTTGTGCTTCAGGGTCACATATTAAGAGTTAAAAGTGGATGAAAACAGTACGACTCGCTTCATCTACGATATTTGTTGTGCTCAGAGCAACCATCTGCATGTTTCATGAACATTATGAAATAAAATCATGTTTTGGAGGCAAAAAAAGTCAATATTTTCAGATCTGTCAGGTGTTCTAATAATTTTGGCCACCACTGTATATATATATATATTTTTTAGAAATACAGCTGTAATAAAATTTAAATATAAATAACTTAAACTAATTTCAGTTAACTGCCGACGCAACATTACTAATTTCCTTACTAAAATTACTAACTGGAAATAAAACATAAAATTGAAATAAAAATAATCATAAATAGTAATACTTAAATTAATAAAAATGACAAAAGCATAAAACAAAATGACTAAAAATGTAAGTAGAATTAAAACAAACACTAAAAGTATGAAAACTGAAAAGTAATTCAAAAACTATAATAGTATATAAATAATACTAAAATAACACCGGGCTCAAGGTTTAAAAAAAAAAAAAAAGCCCCAATATTAAAAATGTAAGGGGGAAAAATGTGAGTTTCTTACTTTTATCACTTGTTGAACATTTGACATCAGCAACCAAAATCATTTTTAATGTAAATGCATTCATTGTATTATGTCTTGCACATTTATTACAGCTATTTTTGTTTTTAAAGCCGATTCTAAAATAACACCGGGCTCAAAGTAATAAAAAAAAAAAAAAAAGCCCCAATATTAAAAATGTAAGGGGGGAAAATGTGAGTTTCTTACTTTTATCACTTGTTGAACATTTGACATCAGCAACCCAAATAATTGTTAATGTAAATGCATTCATTGTATTATGTCTTGCACATTACAGCTATTTTTGTTTTTAAAGCCGATTAGATTTTTAGCAGTCTTTATTAATTTAAATAAATTTCTATTAATTTATTAAGTGAATTCAAGGTTTCCCCAAAATGGGGTTTGCAGGGGAAGTAATGAATAATTTATTAAACACTAAAATATAAAATTAAATTATTTTAAAATAAAACATTTACTGAAAAAGAATAAATATTTGTTACCGTGCATGTCATGTGACAATTAACCAACATCAGAGAACCGTGAACATGTGAATGTGCTGCTAAAGCATTACAAAATTAACTTATAGGTTAACTATTCCTTTAATGGGAATAAAGTTTTAAAAAAATTAATTAATTTGAAACTACTGGGCTTTAAATACTACATCTGATCTGACCAACAGCATATATGTGACCCTGGAGCACAAAACCAGTCATAAGGTCAATTTTTTTGAAATGAGAATTTATGCATCAGCTGAAAGC